TAAACCTAGTTCCTACGTCACCTACGTTAATAAGTAAGAACCTAGCGTAATTATAAGGAAATAAAAAAAAAAGAAAAGGAAGAAAGAAAGAAAAAAGATCTGATTCCTTGGCATTTAAAGCATTGCCTGAGAAAACAAAAGCAAAATTCCTGTCCTTTGGGGGCCTCTCATACCTTCAAACGTTGAGAGAGATTCTCAAAACAATCATCTGTGACACTCTCTCAAGGAAATCTGATCCAGTATGAACCTACCATAGGCATTTCTGGAGCTGCCCTAACTCGCCTCTCCAAATTACAGTCTCGTGGACATTCCAAGTCTCAAGCAAAGGAAAAGACTAGCTAGATTTTAACATATAATTGAAGAGACTTAGACCATTAGACAGAAGGAACAGGATTATGGCACCAAAATCACGTGTCCCTTACAATACATCTTCTCACTGATCCGCGATGTGTCTTCAGGCTGAAGTAAAAGATGACAGGAGAGAATGTTGGTACCTGTCTTTCTTCCTCTGGAGCTCCTCGTTATGGGCCTGACACAAGTCTGTGTGAAAGGTAAATAAGCCTTGAGAGGTAGGTAGAGGCACGTAGGCTTTATCTGCTTTCAAGCCCTCAAAGCAGGACCTTCTGAAGGCAAAGTTTGTTTTACAACAGTGGTCCACAGCAGGGTTGATGTTTCGATTTTCATTTATTCCACATAACTGTCCAAGAACTAAATCCATCTGTACCAATGAAAGTTACAATGGAGCTTTGAAATCTGGTTAGATGAACAGTTAGATCATTCTAAAAGCACCATCAACTTTAGTCAGAAAAATCCACTCACCCGTAATGTGGCACTACATGCAAAGAAAAGCAGAGGCCGGGGTCCTCAATGGCATTGTAACAAAAATGGAAGCCACAGCAGTACAAATGCCTATGGCTTAACCCTTACTAGCATGCATGCAAATCTGTGGTTGTGAGAACAGAGCTGCAAACAGCCAACTGAAAGGGGCAGCAGGACACTGTGGCCCTTAAATTTATTCCCCTCCTGGGACATCGTCCTCCAGGTACTGTCCACCCCATCCCTAAAGAGATTCACCCAAGAACTGGCTGGGCTGGAAGCAGCAATTCTTTTACTGACCCAGGGTGGGCAAAAGGGAGAATTTGTAACATACTTAAATTTATAAGGTTTTATCATTCTGAAACAACATTGTGACTCCAAGTCATTTGCCCTAATGATTACTTCTAATATAAACAAGAAGTAAGAAAGATGATTTGAAGAAACCCAAGAAAATACTTAAGACATTCCCTTTTACCTCTTTAGGATTTTAACACAGTGAGCCAAAAAGGAGAACTGAACATTCCTCGCTAAACAATATGGAAAACACTGAAGAGAGGACAGATGGATAATCACTATGAATCAGTGAATGCAGATATCCTTTTTGTTTTCTTTTAGGAGTAGTCAAGTATGTGGGCCGTGCTCACCAAATTATCAACGCAGGCAAACTCTTCACTCAGGGTGCAGCAGGTGGTCAATGCTATCACCATCTCTTTGCCAAGAAAGGTCAGTTCTTCAGTGGACAGCTGGGGGGCTATCTTTGTGAGTTTGATGAGGTAGCTGAAGGAACATTTGTCTGTTTGGTTCTGAACGAAAGCAGACACCAGTTTCCCCTTGTCTAGCTATTGGAACCCCATCCCTTCAAGTCTAGGGGCAACCAGTGTAAGGGCAACGTGAGGCTCTGCTCTCTCGTAAAAAGGTAGAGAACAGTCTCTTCGCTCCCTGATTTCCTGCACCCTGCCTCCTAGATCTCTGTATTTCAGTTTCCTTCTAATTTCCTGATAATCTCAGAAACTCTCAGATTTGCCCATCTTGTTTTACCTATGAGTATAGGAGCTCCTTGGCAGCAAATATCTTGGCTAGTATGTGAAATCCTGCTTGAAATTCCTTGCAGAGTTAATACATATTTTAAAGGGAAAATTAAATAGATACATGTTGGAAATAGATACTCTGAGATGACAGAAACAAAATCTTTAATGGGCTGAGTTTGACTTCTCAGCTAACAGAATGCAGGAATAGTGAAATCATATTTTTTTGACTGTGTTCTGTTTTGATTTGAAGATGTTTGGTTTCAACACATACTACATTAGCATGGTAATTAATTGAGATAATCCAGAACAAACTTCATTTTATTCATGAATGCTCACAAGAGTACTTTAAAAATAAATATTAAAGTGGTAAGCACATCCAGAATTATTTCTTTAAACTATTTCTTTAAACTTAAACTTTAACTTATTTCTTTAAGATAGGCTTAAATCCTGGGAAAACCATCTTTTCCTTGGAAATTGTAACAACCTAAATTTGATCCAGTCCACCCTCCAAACCTGCCATGGGGCACACTTCAGAAATTCTGGGTTGAGAGTGAGAAAGGCAAGTGCAAACAAAAACTAAAGTATCAGAGAATCAATTTGTCCAGAATCCTATCCTATATTTCTTCAATTTCTAGCCTCATTCCTTCTGGAGACTTAATATGACACCTCAATATGCATTCTTGACTTTTGGGTTTTTGTTCTTTCCCAGAGTTTATGAATTCACCACAACTAAAAGCTTGAGCTAAATTTTTGACACTTTGTTGTACTCTTTATCTTACCCTGGTCACAAGTGTTTACCTACTTGTGCAAACCACTTACTAGTATTTCAAGTCATCCTTCCCCAAATTCTGAAAATGTTCACATTCTTGCTGTACTATCTTGAGGCTTTTCTCAGTTGTCTCATTGAATCTGTTTTCCTGAAAATAAGAGCAATCACGTTTATGAAGATTTTATCTAAAATTTAATCAGAAGCTTCATGTCAACTTGTCTAATAGCCTTTTTAAATTATATAGTATTTTCAAACTATCATCACCACACATTACACTAAATTGAGGGGAACTTTTTATATATGTAAGAATTTGAATCTTTTCAATTATAGTTATAGACACAGATGTAGTTTTTGCTAAAATCTGAAAGTTCACATTTTTCGTCAACATTACCTTGTACATTTTATAAAGCTTTCCAGTCTGTAAAGCAAAATTCGAATCTGATGTTGACAACGGTCATATTTGAAGTCTGTTTAATAATATAAAATGTTTTGTATGATTCTCACTTTGAAGTGGCCAGAGCAGCTGTTATCTGCCTTCATGAAATCAAGAGACTTGCCTAGCCTCACCCAGGAAGTCAGGGTTGCTACAGAACAGTTTTAATTACATGTAATCACATGTATTTTTTATACCTTCTTCTTCATCCTTTAGAATTGGAACTTACAACCGCCAATAATTGTCTTCAAATATTTGACAAACTGTCTCTCATGTGGCATAAAATTGGACCTCTACTAAGTGACCACCAGAGAGAAAGCTACACACTGGTGGATGATGCTGTGGGATGAATTGTGTCTCCATGCAATAAAAAGAATTTTCTAGCACTACGATTCATTTAAA